CCCCCGCAAACAGCCGCCAGTCTATTAGCACAGCCAGAACAGAGGCATTGCTACTATGCTTCTTGCTGCCTGTTGCTAGTGGTTTTTCTGATCTTGTGATGCTTCTGGGTCTTCTTCTTAGTGCTGCTGCTGTGATTGCTGTTGTTGGTGTATATCCTGGGGTCGCAGGGCACAACCTTGGCATTGGCATCTCCACCTTTGTGGGCTTTAGCGCAGGCCACAGCTAGCCTGTCCGAGGCCACGCAGCCTTGGCATGGCCTGAACTGCCACATACGATGCTAACCGCCGAGGCCACCCTCTTCTTTTCTAGGCTTCCGAAGCGACGGCCCCCCTCAAACGTTTCTCGGCGCCTCGCAGGGTGCAACCTTGGCATTGGCATCTCCACCTTTGTGGGCTTTAGCACAGGCCACAGCTAGCCTGTCCGAGGCCACGCAGCCTTGGCGTGGCCTGGGCTGCCACGTACGGTGCTAGCAGCCGAGGCCAGCCTCTTCTTTTCTAGGCTTCCGAAGGCGACGGCCCCCGTCAGACGCTTCTCGGCGCCTCGCAGAGTGCAACCTTATTGGCATTGGCATCTCCACCTTTGTGGGCTTTAGCACAGGCCACAGTTAGCCTGTCCGAGGCCACGCCTAAGGCTAGAACACCCATCTTCTTTCCGCAGACGGGCAACCACCGGAACGACACTAACGCCTTCAGTTACACATGCTACACTCCTCTTGAAAAGGGGTCGGCGGCACCCGGGCGAAGCCCTTACAATTTGCATAGCAGTAGACTTCAGGACCTCCAATTTCGTTCCCAGGCTCCTGGGGAGGACAAGCAAAGCCCAAAACCACCATCGTCGCCCGCAGCGCGCCATAGCAAGCAAAATCACATCTGTCTAGTTGTTTGTTCCAAAGGGCTGCCATGGGCCGTGCTACCCTTACAAAAAGAGCTTCAGCTTCCACTACATCGACTCTCCAACACTTAGACTTGCAGGGAATGTGGCTTGATCCCTCTCCTTTCAATCGCTTTGCTCCAAAGAGCAATGATGGCACCTTGCTTCTAGTTACTAAATTTACTAAGAAGCTTCAAAGACATACTAGAAAGTTTTTTGTTACAGGTGAAAACGATTCTCAAGGAATGATATCTTCAGTCAGCCCTTTCCGATGGCCGTTATCTCGTTTGAGTGCGCTTTCAGCTAGGCAATCGAAGAGGATTGTACTGACTCGTCCTTTCTTGCCAAATGTCACACTTCCTCCACCTTAAGCCAAAAAGAAACCCGGTTTGAGTAAAAGTCAAAACTGCCCGAGTAAATCGGCAAATGATGGCACACGTTGTGTCTGCACACACTTCGAGCACAAGCTCATATTCTGGATCAGTCATTGCAGGTGATCCTCTGAATTGTGCCCTTTCAGGCCGAGGCCGGAGATTTCACTGGCCACTCCTGGAGCTCCGCAAAGTCAGCAAAGCGAAGTCGGTTGCATCATGGAGAGACCCCACGTTCCGAAAGAAGAAAACCGACCAAAAGAATCATCAATCCCTCAGACCGGCCAAAGCTTTTACCGACCAATCATGCAATTCACACAACCTGACATCAATGTTGCTATGTCTCCCACTCCACTCACAGACATAGCTCTGCGCGCTTGCGCAAGTGACTTCTCCCAGCACTCCTGAATGGACCCTGGACGAATCTTTTGACCAGGGATCAGTAGTGTGGTAGGGCGTTTCAGCGATCCATTCCCTGAATCTTTACAACCTCGACAGGCGTGTCCGACAGAGTCTAACAGAATCCCAACGACTCTTTGGAAGTGTGGGAAATCGACTCATCTTCAGCTTCGGGATTGCTCAAGCTTTGTTCCAAGCACAAGCAGACTTTGATCCGTTTGTTCTTAGGTGTTCTGATTTTGGCCGTGGCCCCAAAGCGGCCTTGAACTTGATGTTTGAAGTCAAGGCAAAATCCACAAGCATACATTGTTACATCGTTGCTGCACCGCCAAGGCGCGTATCTGGTGCAAATGCCATTCCCCATGGCCATTTGAGCTGGCATGGACCATGTTTGGAATCGTTGAAGCCTTTGATCGGCGATAAGGAAAAGAAAATGCTGAAGTTTCGCCTCAGTGACTCAGAGTTGTGAAAAATGATGCTTGACAAATTTGGATGGGTTTGGCTGAAGCAGAAGCTCGCTAGATTGCCAGATCATCCTGCCACACATCTTTGCTGTATGGAAAGCTCAGCTGATCAGGCAGTGTCTGATCTACAAACGTGCAACTCCCTATTACTGATGCCAGCGTAGAATTCACAAGGCGGTGCAAAGCCTATGAGGCAAAAACGGCTCACCCTCCGCAGGGACTTCAAATACTTGACCGAAGTGTTTCAGGCTGCAAACATCACCCTCAAAAGTGAGAGATCAACAAACCTCCAGTGTTAAGCACAACAATCTATCTTGAGTCCCTCCGGAGCGTTCTTTCTGTACAAACTGCTTGGGCGGAGCAGAATTCCTTTAGCTGGAGCCAAGATATCGCGCGTCGACTCGTTGACTGCGCGGAAGCAGTAGTTTGGGTTGCAGGTTGCAGTGGTCTGCAGAAATACCAACCAAACAAGAATAACAAGCCCGCACTGGTCTCCGCCTGAGGTCTGCAGACGACAGGTTTCTGGTGACCTGAGATGATGCGAACTGGCTCAACTTGCAGCTCTTGAACTTGAGACAGCCAATGATATCTGGTGTTGCATTCAGATGATCATCTTATCACTTGCAAATTTGTTCAGTGATCAAAGTGTTTCAGCAGTCTCTTCCACCAGGGACCAGGACAGCTGCTGTGCGTCGACAGCCAACCACCGACAAAGCCTTCCGCTCAGCACCTCAGAAGACCAAGCTATGCTGTGAAGACCACAGGTTACTGTTGTTCTCTTGAGTTCAGAATTGCAGAAGGCAATGAAGGTGTTCGCTCTTGTAGTTATATAATTATGCTAGAAGATGGATCATGCTGGAAGAGATTGAAATGACTTCAAATGAACAAGTGTTCCTCGTAGGCTACAACTGAAGAGACACATGCACCATGTTGTGATACTTCAAGCTCCTGCATCATTGATGTCCTGAAACACCGGACAACGGCCTTATTCAACTTCAGCCCAAACGCCGAGCCGTCCCACAATGGAGTACAGTACAGTCAAACCAATTCCGACGGTCAAACCACTTGACACATTCCGACGTGACGGAATCTGCTCCGTTTCGCTCCACCGACTTTCACTTTCGCTCTACGGATGCCACCTTTGGGAACTTGCTTCAGAGGTGGCCACCTGTGTTGGCTGCAGACTGCGTGGCAATCATGCGGTGACGACGAAAAGAAAAAAACTGCGATTGTTTCACTTCGTTTTTCTGACCAGAGGGTTCTTTGGCAATGCAATGCGGATGGAGGAACGGAGGATACCCACTTGTGGGCGTTAAAACCAGGCATCTAGCCAAAGTGCTTCAAGCCCTCGTTCATTCGCACTGCATTCATCGTCTGCCCATCTCAGCACCCCGCTTGTTCTTTTCTGCCTGGAATTCCAGTGAATATCTGAGCATCACCGTCGCTTCCCTGTCACCCATCCCCATCGTCTGATTTATGCAGACTTTCGTTGTTTTCCAGCTGAATCAGAACTTGGCACAACTTCTTCAATGCCGATTGTGGCAGAACACCCTGAAGGTGTGTGTGTGTGTGTGTTCCACCAAAAGCATGTACAAAGCATCTGATTTCATTGCATCTCTTTTTCACTTTGTCTCACGATTGTTCTGGACTGCTCATGCTGCAAGTCACCTCACAGGGCTGCTCTGGGGTCAGGGACTTGCACAAGACCTGCCAGGCAAAGGTCTGTATTTTTGAACATGTGCATTTGTCTTGCTATGTTCATCCCTGCCAAGCACCATAGTAGGAAACTCTCATCTGTCTGACAGCTCAGAAGCATCTCCCAAGATCCTGCTTTGCACAGTTGGACATCGATGATATTTTCACAAATGGAATGTGTTGCTTCCGTTTGGCTTCAGACTGTACCTGCACAGTCTTGGATCTCTCCATCTGCTCTGGTGCCTCAGAGCAAGTCTTGAATCGTGCGATTGGCGCCCCCAGCGGCCGCGTCGAAGCGAAACGGAACCGAGACGAAAGGCGTTTTGCTGGGCTTTGTCCCACAAGTTCGTCTGCAACTGCAAAGTCTGAAAGACGAAGTGTTGAACACCCCGTTGAGAAACCGTCACCTGCGATTCCTCCCTCGCTCTCCCTCGCTCTCCTGCGTTTTGAGCCGCGGCAATGTCACCATCCACCTTGAGTGCCCAATGACAATGAGATTCCAACCCAAGCATGCAACACTCAAATATCAAACAAAAAGTGTTCCTCCCCATCCCTTCCAAAATGAGAGGACCAAATAACCCACATGTGTAGCTTCTGTGTTCAGAACAAGTGGAGGGAAAATGGAAGTAAAAGGAATGATAGGGGATCAGTGTTAAGTGTATGCGGATGATGGAAGAGAGCAAGAGGCATGGCAAGATGCAGAAAGGAAAAGGCGCCTGCCATGGGCACTCCGTGACTCGGACGACAGGCGCCGCACTCACCAGGTCATGAAGTTTTTGCGGAAAGCTGATCCATTCTAATCTAGTCTAAGTGGCTTCTGTGTTGACTGTGAAAAACCTGTCAATACATTATTGGCCCCAAACCCTGATGCCCTGATGGTCTTTGAGCCAAGATCTGATAGATGCACCTTTTCGCTCATTTGCCTTTTACTATATATATATATATATACCTATTCTTTCGGATGTCAACGAACCAGGCGGTCCATCATTCCCACGACATCATTTTGCGAGATATTCGTGGCTATCTTGAGTGTCTGCAGAAAGTTACCAAAATAGACTGTGGAACAGACTCAAATCATTCGGCAAGGGACTTTTGCAGATCGATGAAAAGGGAAAATACACTAAGAACATTGCTGAGAGGCTGCTTCATCGACTGAGACGAAAAAACGCCTCTGCCAAACGTGGCTCTGGTCTGGCAAAGTGCAGAGACTGCCATGAAGCTCCCAGGCATCAACGGTCAGGCATGAACCAAACTTGAAATCTTCTCCCTGCAGGTGCACTGTAGTGTATGCCGATGATCCAAATGCAGGGTTTCCCTGCTCCCTGGCTTCAAAGCAGGACTCTTGAGAAGATTAATTGCTGCATCTACAAAGCATCGCAACTGCTTGCACATTGACACTACCAGATTCTGAGAAACAATGACAATTGCCTCAACATGCGACAGCATGGTACATGGTTTGGGTGAACCTCACTCTAGCCTCAACATTTCATTCAGGCAGTGCCTTTGACCCACCTTCGACTCTTGAACCATCAAAGGTGCCGAATTAGATGAATTGCGAAAATAACAATCTATATAAACACCTGGATGAGCTACTGGAAATTCTGGAGGGGAGTGATAAACGGGCGCAAGTAGTTCATCGAAGCATAAGTTAAAGTTGTTATGTAGAGTCAGCTGAAACAAGAAGCTTAGATTCTTGTATCAACGGTTGCAATATTCCCCTTCACTGAAAATGAGAAGGCTCAGCGATCAGCCAATCTGCTTTCGCGCAGTGAGGCGCTTTCGCGGGGCACCCTGGGCAACAATGCGTGCATCCCAAAATTTGTGCAGCTTGATTGAATTTTTTCCACAATGTCATTTGCACTCCCAATCATCCTGCATAGAATCGAATGAGTCAGTACAAAGGCAAAACAGTGATGCGGAATGGAATCAAAGGTCTCAGAAAATAAAACATTCTAGCCTGGTGTTTTTACTCAACTCCTACATCTCACATGACTCACATTACGCATGACCAGCCATCCTGCTGTTCAACGGGAACACCAACTCCCACAGCCAGGCCTCGACCATCCGAGCGGAGTCCTTAATAACTTGGCAGTCTTGCATGTTGGCAAACTTCAAATCCCTGTTGGTGAGATACAAACAGCAAAACCCTGCTGCTTTCAGGACAAATATATCATCAACCCTGACTGCCCATGTGCCCTGCCAAACATCTGGTCAGGTCCATTTTGCCCCCCCTCCCAAATCCAAGCAAATACCGTCCTCCGCCTCAGCTGCTCGCTCTCGGGCGATCAGCCGCTCCTGGGCATCTTTTTTATTCGTTGCTGCCCAGCGAGCATTCACGAGAAAATCGAACGGAAAATGAGTGATGTTGTTATCATTCTGTTGCTGTTGTGAATCTTGGAAACTCAGGTCTTTTCTTCGGCATCGTCATCGTCGTGCGGAAGATTATGAATCATGGTGTTTCTACCCACACCCCACACAGTCGGGAACTGCACCCTGAACTGATTGCAGTTTTCCACACGCCAGCCTAAGTAAAAACCTACGAAGCTAGGGCAAGGTGTAAGTAAGGTGGTCTAACCATGACGTGCAAGTCTTAAAGCTCAAAAAGGTTCAGGGCTTCAAACAAATGCCAAGATCCGAAGGCTCCATCGACGAGCGCATGACAGCAAAGCTCATTAGCACTTTACTGCACCCGAGACCTCACCAAACCTGAAACAGCGTCCAAAGACTCTAGAAGGGGAGCGTGGTTACGAAGCATCACAATTTGCAGGTACGCCAGGTTGATCAGTTGATCAGACCTGGCTTCCACCATCACGCATAGCTTCGTTGGCATGCGTTTGCGTGATGGCCGCATGCCCCGTGCATGGTAGAAAACGTAGAGAACACCAAAAGGTGATCTTTGACTTCCAAGGTGTTAGTGTTCACACACCAACACCAAAAACACACACTCATGGATATGCGTACTGACTTGACAGCGGTGCCACACGCCGGCCTAGGGTTCCATTTCCTAAGAGTACCAGTAGGAAACCATCGAATCCTGGAGGTCTTAAAAGGAAAGGTGGCCCAAAGCGCAAGATCGAGGTCGGCGGGCAAGTCGACACGACGACGTGTCGTGCATGTCTGCAGTTTGAGGTTCTTGGCTTAGCCTCATGCCATTCAGAAAGAAAGGAAAATCGCAGGTACGTCGGAGTGGCCAACTCCGATATCACCAGATCAAGTGGGCGTCTTCGTTGGTAGCGGTCCCAAATGATCTGCCGCTACCCCCTGCTAAAATCCAAAAGGATCCCTATGATTCCAAGGGTTACACACACACGCCCCCCCGAACGGAGGCATGTGTGACCTCCATCCTGCCCGGAAAGGAGGTAGGCACATGCGCACGCAAAAGGGACAGAAGAAAATGAGAAGGACAAGACAGACAAAGGTGTGTGTGGTTGCCGATGAAAAGGAACCAAGTGAAGAGGGACAACCGATGAGCCAAACCTCATTGTAACGAACCTGGGCCACCTGAACCTCGCAGTAAGTAAAGTACGCGTGCGTGTATGTGTACAAACTAAGGTCCGGACGAAAGTGCGCGCAAGAGAAAGAAAGGATGAGGATGAAGAGACATGAAGACAGAAAGACATGAAAGAAAAGAGGGAAAAAAAACGTCTGTGGGGGCCGATGAAAGGGGAACCAAATGAACGGGAACAAACCGATGACAAACCAAACCTCATTAGAAAAACCTGTTGCAGAAGTCTAGTTTGTTTGTAAACACGCCGCGCGCGAGGAAAGAGGGGGCAGGGGAGGAAGAAAAGAGAGGGAAAGAAAGAAGGAGACAAAGGTGCTCCCAGCTACGACACAAGCGTCCAGGGACACACCAAAAAGAAGGGCTCCCAGCTATGACGAAGGATCCAGGGACACCCAGGGAAGAGGGTGAAGAGAGGAAAGAGAGAAGGAAAGAAAGAGAGAGGGAGAGAAAGGGAGAGGAAAGGAAGGTGTTCCCAGCTACGAACAATCGTCCAGGGACACACCCAAGAAAGAGAGGGGTGATCCTGAGTATTGCATTCAGGAAAACCCCAGAAAGCAAAGAAAGAACGGGGGAGGGAAGGGGGAGAAGGGGGGCTAAGTGCTCGACAGGTTCCAATGAGCCTAAAACTGGCTTTGACCGCTCTGGTCACCTTGTGCCTTGCCGAAATGGCTGGCTGCTTTGACCGCTGTGGTCACGTAAGGGCATGAGCCAACTTGGTATTCCAAAGATGAGACAAAGATCATCGGACGTACGGCCTAGGCCACCTTCGCCCGCTGTGGGCACTTACGTTTCCAGAGCAAGGGAAACAGCGACGTACACCCGTTCGACGGGTCCACGGGAGGCACTCTGCGGGCTCATCCCGGGTTGGCACGAAGCCAAACACACTCATGGATATGCGTACTGACTTGACAGCGGTGCCACACGCCGGCCTAGGGTTCCATTTCCTAAGAGTACCAGTAGGAAACCATCGAATCCTGGAGGTCTTAAAAGGAAAGGTGGCCCAAAGCGCAAGATCGAGGTCGGCGGGCAGGTCGACATGACGACGTGTCGTGCATGTCTGCAGTTTGAGGTTCTTGGCTTAGCCTCATGCCATTCAGAAAGAAAGGAAAATCGCAGGTACGTCGGAGTGGCCAACTCCGATATCACCAGATCAAGTGGGCGTCTTCGTTGGTAGCGGTCCCAAATGATCTGCCGCTACCCCCTGCTAAAATCCAAAAGGATCCCTATGATTCCAAGGGTTACACACACACACACAGATCGTCAACTGTTCTGTAACCACCACACTCTATGCATACTATGATGAGATCGAATGAAACACAAATTCCTGCCTCCCGCTCTACGAGCAAGGCTTCCTGCTCTTTAAACTGCCGAAGGCATTCCGCCTGCAATGCTCAAAGCAGAGTTCCTTGACCAATCCAAGAAGAGCGATGAAAACCGAAACTGAAAGCAAACGTTTAACACAGTGCCCATATTTTGCAGCATTCTGCCTTGGCATGTCCGCTAATCCAAATCCCCAATGGCTAAATTCCAGCCTTGTGCTAACTTGGTCAAATCATGATGCTCAGTGGGAGCGGTGACTTGTGTGACTTCCAAACATCCGTGTAGCCGATCTCTTCCCAGAAGTTGCAGTGGTCGTAGTGATAATACTGGATCCTCCCAGAACCTTCCAGATTCCAATACGTACTCACACCACTGCTGTTGTAAGGGACAAAAAGTGACCGCCCTGACGCGAAGTCAATAATGCTCGCCGCATATAGTGTGGAGAAGTTCAGCTCCTTGTCGTTCACATAGCCAACTTGGGTACGAAGTGACATTCTCTTCGAAGCAGGGATTTGGTAAGCAATGTCTGATGCGTGGCACGTGGCTCCGTCTGGAGGTCCTTGGATACAAATCTTGTCCTTGTGCATCTGGCTGCTGTGTGGCTGCACCATAAACGTAGATAAATAAGCCTGCCCAAAGAGAGACAATGCTTGGGCAGCATAGCGAGCATAGCATGTCATCAAAGCATCCGTCGTGACAACTCCAGCCCGTTCAGCCCACGACATACGACTTGTATCTGGCGACCGCGCATAGTGGTCCTGGATCTTCAATGCACGGTCGTCAAACAGCACAGCCAGCACCTTTTCATACGAAAGACGGTTGTTGCCCATCCTCATCAGTAAAGTCGGAACAAAAGCCAGCGTCTCATTGGTTACTGTACTGATGATGGTCGGGACCCTATTGTGCAGCCCCCGCTCAATGGCAACTAGTGGGTTCATTGGAAGTGTTTCCGAATCAATGATGGGCAACCAAGCTAACACGTTTGCACATTCAGGGCAGGGTGCTGTGAAGTGTCTCAGGTACTCAGGTACAACGTCTACATCTCTCAGGGCTTTAGCAGGTCTATCTTGGAGACATGAGGTGATGTTCCCGGTGCAAAGCATGGCTTCTGCAACCAGTTGCACAAACTTTGTATTCTCTTCTCTGTTTCTGTAGTAGAGACCAACGGGGGAGTTGGCCATGGCACTCTGAAAAAGACCAGCAGATCCTGGTGCAGCGAGATGGCACATGACCGACATGGCACCTGCACTTTGTCCCATCAGGAGAACCTTCTGAGGATTCCCTCCGAAAGCTTCGATGTTCTGATGAACCCACTTCAACAGGAGCTGCTGGTCTCGAAATCCGACATTGGCCACCGTCCCATTCCACGAGAAAAATCCAAAGACACCCAGACGGTAATTGAAAGTCACCAGAATGGCTGGGTTGCTGGGATTCGTCACAAAACGATCACCCCAGAAGTTGGGATCTGAGCCACTATTTCGGAGGAAACCACCACCATGAATAAAGACCACCACTGGCAGTGGTTCCTGGAAAGCTTTAGGAACCCAAACGTTGGCGAAGAGACAATTCTCACTCTCTTCATACGATTCTGAAGGATCTTCATCGTGATGGCTGAAACCATGAATACAAGAGCTCCTGAAAGCAGTGCCATTCAGTGTCCCTGTCCAAGGCAACTTTGCTCTGGGGGCTTCAAATCGCCCTGGCTGCTCTGCATATGGGATCCCTTTGAAAGCCAGGAAATCACCATAGTCTCTTCCCAACACCTTGCCCAGAGGAGTTTGAACCTCTCGAGCCAAGGTGGGACATAACAGTCCCACCAGTAAAAGCCATGGAATCATTGCAGACATGCAACTAAGCATCTGCAACTGCATGCGCAGTAGCTAGAAATGTGTTCGAAGCTGATTGATTGAGTTCATGTCCATTCCACAGTTGATGCTGATTTTACAATTGTCAAATCTGCTGGTTTTTGTGCTCTTTGTAAAGCTTGAGAAACTAAATAGTTTTTACCCGGCAAGCTTCATTTCCCTCCCCTCCACCGAAGTCAAGACTTCACGCTACAGTGCATGCATCTTCCTTCAGAAAGCCTCAATCTCCCTCTTCCAAGACCTGCAGTAGAATACTCTTCTCTAATTCTAATGGCTCTGATCGGCTGGTGCCCCCACCCCAAGACAGGCAGATGGGTCTCCCCACCTTCTGCATCTTGAGCCGTTCCTCGCAACACACCAAGCGCCGTTCGCGCTCTGCCAGACGCTGATCCTCTTCCACCTCAACAGAAGACAAACAGGCTTAGAGTGACTGCTGAATTAAATACTTTTATATACTCACCTCTCCTCACTCCTCACCAGGAATATTTAAGAAAGCTGCCCGCACATTAGGCTCCTGCACAACACCCTCACCAAAGTTGTATTCTTGGTTCCCGTATGACAAAGGGCCACTCAAGGTCAAGGCTCAAAAAGTGTACGGAGTCACACTGGATCTGACTTACTTGTCAAACAAAAAACTGTCGATATGGACACCATCTGAGTATAGGGAGTACGTTCCCACCATTCGACGAAATCCATCAGGTGCCTGCATTTGTGCTTTCTCTTCAAGGATGGCCTCCGCAGAGTTTGTGCTTCTTTGTGCACATTGCAAAAGGAGCGCAGCCGCAAGCTTCTTTATGCGGGGTTGTACACACTTCGTTTGTACTGTCCATTACTAGGAAATTCAGTGCATCCTCTCAACGCCAGTAACAAGACCTTCACTTTCTTGAAAAGTCTGGCATGCTTTCAGAATGGCCTCTTTTGACTCTGTGTTTGCAAGGAAGGGAAAAAAAAAAGCTTCTACAGCACATCGCTCGCTTAAGCTGATGCCAAAACAAGGCCTACTCAATTATTGTGTGATATATCTGGCTTTTTGCACCTCCTTTTCTTCGTCTCTGTGCCTTCCCTGCGGAAGCGCACTCGACGGCTCAGGTCTCTTTTGAGGAACAATATCCCTGCATTCGCTATGCCTTTCGAGTGTCAACCTGGGCTATCTGCGTAACTACAGAAGCCGTCGATCTGCACAAAGCTTAAGTCTGTTTCACTAGATGTGGTGTAGCCCTGCCTGATAGAGCTCACTCTCCGAATGCCTGGATCATAGATATCCAAGCATGCCAAACGCTTCGCCACTCTTTCCGGAGTGTGGCAATCATTTAGGACCGTACCTGGATTGACGCATGCCCTCTCGCAGGGTGCGCTCTGCATTGGTCACCTCCTCCTGACAGTTTCTGGGATCGGGTTGAATTTCTCCTAGTAACCGCTTCCAGCCTCACGCGCTGCAACGGCAGTCTCCCGCTCAAGTAGGCTTTGTTCCCGCTTGGTGGCTATGTGTGCTCGTTCGACCAGAGCCTGGATGCAATATGTGTCCGTTCTCATTTCACTGTCCACCCAGGCTACCAAGCTTAGAACATCTGAAAAGGTTCCTAAACCGTGAACATTGCACCTCTTCTCGCTGTGAGAATTGCCGTTCCAGCTCCTCCTCAATTGCATCCTGCAAAAGGACATTGGCTTAAATAGATTCAAAAGAGCAAGAGGGAATGTTCGCTTGTCATGTCTACTGACATCTAGACTTTAAAAAATGCAAACATACCTGGCAGCACCGTGATCGAGACAGCACCCTGGTGCATGTCTGTCACACGAACCAACAACGTCGCAGCCTTATTTGCAAGCTCTTCCGCTCGCTGATGTAGCTCTGCCTAAAAAGCAAAGGAAGAAGGCAACCAGCTCTAACTCTGCGTGTTGCAAAGCTCTTGCGCACTCTCCAAAAGAATAATTTGATGAGGATTGTCACACCAAGAACTGGTCATTGAAATGAAAAAGACTATATATCTCTCCTGCATTGAAGTTTCAGCCAGATTCAGCTGTTATGGAATAGCAAAGGATGCACCAGCAAAGACTGACTACATCTGACACTTGAGTCAACACTCCCTCCACTCTTTCAGAACATTCGTGCAACAGCATCACTCTTATGACTCCTATGACCCTGTTCCGATGGCCACGTCCGATTTCGGCTCGAACGTTCTCCAGCTGTCCACATGGTGTTCCCTGCCCTTCAATTGAGCTCCAACCTACTAGCAACGGCCTCCAACCTACTAGCACTGGCCTCCTACCTGGCGATGGCCTCCAGCCTACTGGCAAAGGCCTCCAAGCTACTAGCAATAGCCTCCAACGTACTAGCAATGGCCTCCAACCTACTATAGCAATGGCCTCCAACCTACTACCAACCTACTAGCGATGATCTCCAACCTACCAGCACCGGCAAACTACTAGCAACGGCCTCCAACCTACTAGCAACAGCCTCCAACCTACTAGCAAAGGCCTCCAACCTGCTGGCAATGGCCTCCAACCCACTAGCGATGGCCTCTAACCTACTGGCGATGACCTCCAACCACCAGCG